CGCTGCTTTTTCAGCATCTATTTCGGCAACAATGGCATCGATTTCGGCTTCCTCAAGTGTCTCAGTCCATGCTCTTTCCTCATCACGGCAATTTCTATGTTCTTTCCCCCGCTCTCAACAACCTAATCAAAACAGGGAAAAAATAAAGAGAGACACAATTTTCAGTCATCCAAAGCTGGGAGTTAAAGATAACGAGAATAGGTTATCTCTGAATTAGATCAAACCATTATCCAGGAAAATTCACCATAATGCTATAAAAAACGTATACATGATATTGCTTCATCAAATGCAACAAGAATCATTAAGATATGCTACTTTCGGGCACATTGTATAGGATTCAACAATCAATGAAAGTTTCTATAACTTTGTCTGGTACACATGCTTCCCCTTTAAGATTCAGGGTTTAAAGCAAACCATTATCCAGGAAAATTCACCATACCGCTAAAAATAAAAATATACTGACACTACTTCTTCAAATGCAACAAGAATTATTAAGATCTGCTATTTTTGGAAACAATGTAGAGGATTTAACATCAAGGAAGTTTCTATAACTTCCTGTGGTAGATATGCCCTTTAGGATTCAAGGTTTAAAGAGAGGTCAAAAGGCAAACTTTTTAATCTCAAGGGGCAGAGGATTTGAGGAGTGATAACACCTCCTTAATCTGCTTTCCCTGTAGGGTCATGTTGTCATTTATCATTTTACTGTTCTCTTGGTATTTTTTAATTCAAGGCAACCAGCTCCCACTTTCAGCTTGTAGTTCCCTATCCTTTTTTCTTGTATTATTTCTTCTTTTATAAATAAACAAATTCAACACAATGGCTGAAAAACAACAGGATGCTCAATTTCCATTTCTTCCCAGCAAAATGATTTAAGTTTTGTAGCAAAGAGAAAATGGAAGGAAGAAAACATACAACGAAGACACGAAAATGCGTGGGAATGATTTGGGGTGGGGGGGCGGGGGGGTATGCATAATAGACAGCTAACTATAAAACCTCATAGTATAGGAAAAAGATTATCAATAATGACGAAAAAAGATATCAATCACATGTATTAGGACGAGTAAAATGAAGAGTAAAATCTCTGTGCTACTTTTCTACTATGACTCGTATATATTTCATGCACAAGATATTTGACGTACTACGTAAAGATTTTAAATAAATCCACTTGCTGCAAAGAGTAGCGAATTGAAATTAACATACACTAAGGTAGTATATTGATGAGAAAACCTTCTTTTTTCATTCCTTATATTTCTGACATGCACAGTAGATATAGCCAGAGCAAGAGTAACTTACTTCCAGCAAGGCACGGATTGCTAGCTTCACAGTTTCTTGCCCAGATGTTTCTTTATAATTTTTCTCCAGAAATTCCCTCATTGAATTTGAGTTTCTCCCTGTTGCATTAGCTTTCCATGCAGAAAATGTTCCAGATGGATCTGTTTGATAAAGAGATGGCACCCCTGTGTATGGATCAAAACCAACTATTAAGGTTGAGAGACCAAATGGCCTCACACCACCACTTTGTGTGTACTTCTGTTGCAGACCAGCAATATAACGAGTTATATATTCAACAGTAACAGGGTCCTCAACTGTAAGCCGATGGCTCTGGCACTCAATCCGTGCCCTGTTGATCAAGACCCGTGCATCTGCCTTTAAACCAGCACAGACCAACGCAATGTGTTCATCTAATGATACAATCTTCTTAACTGATCTGTGTGCAGAAGCAGCAAATAATATTGTCAGCATGAAAGCTCCTAAAAAGAGATTGCACCAGTGAGAAATCAGATCACATAACGGTGCATGAGAAAAAAACTACATGATGGATACCCGCAATTTGGGACAGTATTATTGATGCCAATACCAGAACCAACATAGCTACCATTATCACATAGTTCTTGATAGTCTAGAAACAGAAAACAACATGGTAAAGGTAAAAATGCCCTAGCAGGATTTCATTAAGCATGATTTTCAAGAGGTTACAGATAATATCTTGTTGAATGAGACAAGGTTAACCATCTGAAGGTTTTGACATTTCTGAACAATTTTACATCTTAAAATCAAAAGTTCAATAAATTACCAACGAAATTCGGCACGAGCAAACAATTTACCAGCACTAAGCTCAGTCTTTTCTTTTGAACAGAATGAAACTTAAGCAGCATTGTATCTAATGCTTGATTTAACTATTAAATCAAACTGCCTTTAGAAACTACAGAGCAAAGCAAGAATAATATTTTTGACACTAGCCTTCACCTTCCAAAGGGAACATGGGTTTGCATATAGGAGGCACATTAATTGATGAAATTACAATAACAATAGCTTCCAAATACCGTATCTAGAGATTAAAACCAGGGTTGGCTAGATGGAGATTCCAAAACGTCACTAAACAAAAGAAAGTTCTGGTAGAAATTTAGGACCAGAGCATACAAAAAGCTGAAAATTAGAAATAACGGAAAAGCAAAATAAATATAACCTAACATTTGATTCATCACTCCCAACTCACGCACAACTTAAACGGAATAAAACATACTCCACAGTTTCCACAATTCATCTGATCATTTAGAAATACTTAAATTTTCTTATAAATGTGGACACGCAAATATAACACAGTGTACGAAGCTCAAGACAGAATGCCTGCACGTGTGTATACGCATATATGTACCTAGAGTCTTGGAGCTTCGCAGTAGATTTCTTTTCGACACCGAGGACGACGATGTCGGAGCCACGAACCCCGACGGCCGCGTTCCCTTTGCGAACGGCTTCGAGAGCGTATTCAACTTGGAAAAGGTGACCATCAGGAGAGAACACCGTGATCGCACGATCGTATCGAGCCATAATTTACCTTTTCTGCTTCTCGTTATTTTCCTTTTCACTTCCCGAACTGAGTTTCGCTAGCTTTTTGTATTAGGATTTTAGCTTTGCTCTCTATGATCCGGGTCTCTGAGAAAGAAAAAGAACAACTGAACTTGGGGAACAAGACACACAGTGGGGTAACTTGAGAAATGGGAAAGGTTGGGTCAAAACGACGACGTCTATAGTTCCGATTCAAACGTTGCCGTTTAAAATAAGTAATCTGTTTTAATTCTCTGTGTTTTTTTTTTTTTGGGTTGTCCTTTTTCATTTGAGATTCAATTTTCCATTCTGTTAAGTTTTAAATTAATTTTACTTCTGATAATTTTTCACGTATTTCAGCTAAGTTTCTATTCTATGATTATATTAGGAAGACCCAAAAATTTATTTAAAATTCCCAATTTTTAACCATTAATAAATAAAATAATTAAAAAATAATATTGTCAATAATTTAAACCTAATTGGGCATTTTATTAAAATTGATAGTATGATATCTCAAATTCATGGTGAAAATTTTAGTAATATATATATATAATATACATAAATTAAATTAAGCACAAAATCTAAATTAAAAAACTATGATTCTACTACTATATAGAAAAAGTTAAATTAATATTATTAATCTAAATTTTAGGTAGAATAGTGCAAATAGAAATAGAAAGTGGTATGACATCATCTTTCATTTTTCGGTTATAATATTTGGATAATTTTTTTTTTAAAAAAATAAAATAATTAAAGAATAAAAAATATAAGTTTTTTTTTTTTATATTTTCAATTGAAGTAAAATTTATTTATATAAATTAATACAAATATCATGGCTTATTATTTAAGGAAATAAAATAATAATTTGTCACTAACCAATTTAAGTATTGTTTAATGATCACTTTAATTCTCTAAATTTGTTGAGGGAGAAAGACACTTGGCGTCTTGTTTGTGTTTATTGGATAGCCATAATATATACATATACATACATTTATATATACCTATATATATATATCTATATAAGAAAAAGAAGTTTCTATGAGCAAAATGATGAAAAAACGAAGAGTATTTCCAGCAATTGGAAAGTTGACAAGGTTGCTTCCACTTATTTTGGACTCACCAAATGAAAGCTTTCCTAAATGCAATTCCATCCACCACGAGAGGCAAATTTCATCATTACTCCTATATTGCTTTCGACTTTACCCTCTTATACATTTAACTCACAAATTGCCACGTTAGCTGTTAATTATACATATAAATTATGTTAGTACAGTTTTTTATAATAAAGTTTTTTTTTTAAAAATAATATTAAAATTATCCTTATCACTTTTAGTCGATCTAATTATATTAATAAAATAATTAATATCAAATAAGATGTCGTTATCAATATATTATAATAAAGTCACACTTTTTTGACCAAACATATAATGTAAAAATTTATATTCAATTAAGTTATAAACTTTATTTGTCAAAAGAATATTATTTTTCGATAACATTATTCTATAAATGTCAATAATATAGTCAAGTACTTTTGTAAAGAAAAGATAATGATCATATATTATTTGGGTCCACATCACAAATAGTAAAAATATTTTTAATAAATTCATTGTTTAAACATAAACTATATTCTAATTTTTCATAATTATATAAAAAATAATATAAATGTTATTTTATACCAACAAAATTTATATAAAACAAGCAAGTGTAGAGATATTATGGTAACTTAGTTTTTGATTTAGGATCTATAAGATAATATTAAGGTGTATGCGCATAAATTTGGAATTTTTATCTAATTAAAAATTAACCCTGTGGTGATGTTATCATATATATATATATATTAATGATATATGATTATTTTAGTTATTTACGTATATGAACTTCAAAATAATTAACATATAATTGTAATAATTAATATATATAATGTATATATTATCTGTATAGCCCAGTTTCAACGCCATCCCACTTCCTTCACTGCAACAGTAGTACCGGTCGTGGTTTTGGAAGCCAGACGTGAAAGCTTGCACTCGCACATCATCCAAAAGGGGCGTGTTACACGTTTGCACCTAAACTTTTCAATTCTAGACCACCATATCTATATATCCCAATATGTGATTACATATATGTATGTGTACATATATATATATATCTCTGCACCTTAGTTTTATAACCATCTTCCTCCTATAAAAGCTTCCCTCTCCAAATTTCTCTCACCATATTCCAAAAGTTACGAGCATGTTGCAGAGAAGTAGAACTCTTCCATGCAGAACCCATCATGGAGCGGTTAGATACATATATATATATATATATATTTTGTATATACGTATATGATTATCTTACATCTATACGTAGAAAAGCTCTCCTACATGTTGTGGTAAAGTTGATGATATATATGTATAGATGTTGATTTTCAGGAAGAAGAAAGGCAGTACTTTCAGGTGGAAGTCCAAACAAAATCCAACGAGAGTGAAGCCATAAACTCTCAACCTAGTCACTCCAAAATCTTTGACGATGATGAAGGGTTGAAGAGAACAGGTATAGACATGCATGTATATGTAATCAATCACATATTATTCTCAAGTTCATATATATACACATTGAAGGAATTTGGGTGATGGCAGGCACATTTTGGACTGCAACAGCGCATATCATAACAGCGGTTATAGGGTCAGGAGTATTATCCCTGGCATGGGCGATAGGGCAGCTTGGTTGGGTTGCAGGACCAACTGTTCTGATCCTTTTTTCTCTCGTCAATTTCTACACTTCAACTCTTCTAACAACCTGTTATAGGTCAGGTGACCCTCTCACAGGACAGAGGAACTGTACTTACACTCATGCTGTCAAAGCTTATTTGGGTAACACTAGTTTCCTTTGCTCTCAATTGGGTCCATTTTCATATGTCTATTCCTCTATAAAAGTTCGTAAATTTGAGTCGGAATATACATTTTTATGCTTTTACTGTGTGGCTGCAGGAGGGAAGAAGGTATTCTTATGTGGGTTAATTCAACACATAAATTTGTTTGGTGTGGCAATTGGATATACCATAGCAGCATCAGTAAGCATGATGTAAGTTCTTTTTTCTTAGTTTTCCCCATATATGTACATACTCTTTAGTGATTCATATGCATTTCATGATTAATACTTGTAAACGAGTCTAATGATTTTATTTTATTTTTTTGGTGATTTCATGTTAATTTAGGGCGATCAAGAGATCGAATTGTTTCCATAAGAGTAATGGAAAAGATACATGCCACATGTCAAGTAACGGATACATGATAACGTTCGGAATTGCAGAGGTGATATTTTCTCAGATTCCAGACTTTGACAGAATATGGTGGCTCTCCATAGTCGCTGCTGTTATGTCTTTCACATACTCTTCTGTTGGTCTTGTACTCGGAATTGGCAAGGTTGTAGGTACGAAAAATGACTATCCTTCTAGCTACTTATAATTATAAATTGGAAACTAGAATCTCGAGCTCTAATACTATATTAACCAATATATTTTAATCCATTATCTCAAAACCTTAAGCTTGTAACTTAAATTTATTGTTCAACTCTAATACAAATTTGGTACTAAACGCTAATACTAATTCTATTTTTGCAGAGAATGGAGGATTCAAAGGAAGCTTGACAGGTATTAGCATAGGTACAATGACAAATTCTGGGAGTATTGTTACCCCTACAGAGAAGCTATGGAGAAGTTTGCAAGCACTAGGCGCAATGGCCTTTGCATATTCTTATTCGATCATCCTTCTCGAAATCCAGGTAATATATATATGTATACAAAAAACATAATAATTCTGAGTAGATATAGAATTTTTTGTTTACCAGTATACTAATACACCTACATATACAGGATACTATAAAATCTCCTCCTGCAGAGCACAAGACAATGAATAAGGCAACCTTATTTAGCATTACTGTAACTACAATATTCTACTTGTTCTGTGGATGTATGGGATATGCAGCTTTTGGTGATCTTGCCCCCGGAAATATTCTAACTGGGTTCGGATTTTATAATCCATACTGGCTGCTAGACATTGCCAATCTCGCCATTGTTGTCCACCTTGTTGGTGCTTATCAGGTCAATTTTTCTTCTCTAACTACGAATTTCTTTACCTGTAACCACTACTAGAACACCAAGCTGTGGACGCTACAGGTATTTTGCCAACCTTTGTTTGCATTTGTGGAGAAGTGGAGTGCCCAGAAATGGCCAAGGAGTGAGTTTGTGACAGCTGAAATCAACATAAAGCTTCCGGTTTACGGTGTCTACCAACTCAACTTCTTTCGATTAGTGTGGAGAACCATCTTTGTTATTATCACAACTCTCATAGCCATGCTCCTGCCGTTCTTCAACGATGTTGTGGGGATACTGGGAGCAATCGGATTCTGGCCATTGACGGTGTTCTTTCCAGTAGAGATGTACATTTCTCAGAAGAAGATTGGAAGAGGAACAAGCCGGTGGATTGCACTGAAACTTCTGAGTCTGGCTTGTTTTTTGGTCAGCGTGGCTGCTGCTGTTGGTTCTATCGCTGGAGTTGTTCTTGATCTCAAAACATACAAGCCCTTTAAAACTAGTTATTGAGATTAATTTGGGGCAAAGAATGTATTCCCTAGTAAGCTGAGTGGTTAGTTAATCGGTAAAAATAATTAATTAAGACTTGCAGAAAGAACTAATTTAGATGAATGTATTAGGGAAGTACAATATTTTCACATAATATTTATTATTACTGTTTTTATCTACTTGATACAACAAAACCCATTAGCCAAGATTACAAAATCTTGACAACTGTTATAAAAAAGCAATATCAATTCAAAACATTGCAAAATTTACAGAAAATCTAATGAAAAAAATGATAACTTTACACCTATAACAACAACAACAACGTTAGGAAAAAAGAAATTAAGAAATTTCGACCTAAAGAGTCTCTCTGAGTGTAGATATAGCTTGTATAAAGGAGATACAAGCAATATCAGCATCCATCACTTCTTAGATTTCGCCTTTAATTTTGCAGAATGTGCTTCTGCAGCAGCTTTGGCAAGAGTTGAGGGTTTGATAGCACTTTTTGGGTTGAGTGCCTTTCTTATCTTGAACACGGCCCAGGCAGTCCCAATGGCATGCCCTGCAGCACCAAGCCCTTCATTCGTTACCTGTGCTGCTTGTTCGCCATACCTGCAACAGACAGATGTTTGCCATCATTTTTCTCTTCACAACAAATTTTGATGTAACCTATTCCACTTGCAAAGCTGAAGAACTTAGCCTAAGCCGCCCCTCTTAAGTGAAGAACTAGTCACTAGCCTCAGCTATAAGGCTTGTTCACTATTGACCCAGACATGATAAATACATATCTTGCAGTTTTTAACTTTCATTGGGTTTGAAAATGCCACGCCATCCTAGAGCTTACACTATGGATTAGATCAACTTTCCTCTATATCACAATTTAAAAAGAAATTAGACACAAGAAAACGATTTCTTTGGGGCCAACTGCTGGCCAGATTCCCAGATTAGTGGAATTGGACTGGTTCCAAAAAGCACAACCAACTTGATGAGAGCATAAAGATTTCACCACAGCACAGTGTCAGCACCAAAAGCATCCAAGGCCATATTGCTCAACAAAATGATATGGTTATGAAAAGATGAGCTACTTTATGTAAATCCAATGACAGTTTGCTCACAAAATATCATATGATTATGAAACACCACTCCTGGCAATAAATATACGCCATTATGATAATGCTCGAAGTATATCCTTGCACTTGAGATATAATCTACATATGTAATGTCATTTCTTACAAGTTTAGTGAATTCTGTAGTAAGTTATTTCCTATAAGCTTATGCTTTTGGTACCATCAGGCACAATCAATTACTTCATAACATATGTACCTGTGCGAGACAAGTCCAGTTGTGACAACTGCTGTGGTTGACATGACATTCTTCCCAGCTACTTCAACAGCATCACAAATCTTGTCTGCACGTATGTATTTACCACATAGATTAGAGATCCCAGAATACCATTGTAAATCGAGCATGAGAAATTAATTTTGCTCCAGAAGGAAACCGAGAAGTCGTTAACCTCAACCAAACACAAGTCAAAGAAAGTGACGTACATTGATGATCACAAGTAAAATAAGTTTATGAAGTTCAGAAACACAGCTGTGAGTTCACAAGTGCAGATGATCATAAACACCAAAGCAATGCAAAAAGAATCTGCTTGCATTTATTTCCTACATATTTGTACGCCAGCATAAGAGGTTTATAAACACAAAGTAGGATCAACATCTCCGGCTAAATTTGTTCCATGAAGAGGTTCATAAATTCTATACAGAGTCCTTTGATAACCAAGAACTGAATAAATAACTAAGAACACACACTCCTTCTTTTCCCATCAAAAGTTTCCAAAAAAAAAGGCATCATCCGGAACACAGGGACAAAAAATGGAGAATAAAAAGCAAAAAAACTGAGAAGAATTAACTCACTGAATCCATCCAAGGAAGCAAGGACGATTTCCCCGGGAAAGAGACTGAAAAACTTCTTGCCAGGGTATGAGTTTACAATAGAACTTGTGAAGAATCCTGACACTTTAACAACTCCAGAAAGAATTCCACCGGCCACTTTCTCTGACATCTTTGTCAACTTCTTTACCCTGATAAGTTCATCCATGAAATTGCAAGCTTTTAGAATATTTCAAGTACCATTAAAAATAGCAGACAAAGTCGAGATTTTCATAACCAGGAACCTAACTTGCCCATCAATAAACAGAACCTAGAAGGAATCCATCATCAAGAAATGCAACAATAGCTAGATAACTGTACAAGAAGTTACCTAAGAATTTATTTGATGATTGAGTCTATGTTTGGAACTAAAAATACAAGACCAATTATATACAAGCAACTATCAAAACAAGACAAATTATATAAAAGCACAACCTTTTCATCCTCCTCAGTGCGGCGGGACTGATCTCGGAGCTCGAGCCTGGTGTCGTCTTCTTCCTCAAGAACTCGTCTCCCCACTTCAACCTATCGACAGTCACATCACCGCACCACAAGATCCCCCTGATCAGCTGTCCAGACCCAGCTGCTATAAGTTTCGCAACAGAGCTACTATAGTCCTCCACATTGGGTGCCAAAGTGGTCCAGTACGCCACAGAGCTTCCCGCCAAAAAATCCCTCTTCTCCGGCTCTGTCTCAATCTCAGACGGAGAAACCTCCCTCGCATTTAACACCTCCCATCCAGGCTTCTCCTTCACTTCCTTAACCGAGAAACAACTGTAAGTCTCCAACACCTTGTCGAATTCCCTCAACAAATCCTTCTGTCCTTTCGACGCAATCGTCAACCCATAGTTCAACACCTCGAAATTCAAGTCCTTACCATTTTCAACGCCAGCTTCATCGTACCCATCGTCCGCGGCGGGCACGTGGAGAGTGAAGAAATAGTGAGAATCATCGAGTTTAACAGCGGCTTCATCTTTAGCCAGAGGCCACTGGATTTGATCGCCGACACGCGCAAAAACAGCGACGACGTTGTTCCCCTGAGTGAGGCTAACGATGGAGAGCGCTCCGCAAGCGAGCTCCACACTATTTTCTTTTTCGATCAAGTGGAGGATGGCTCCTGGGACCTTGATGAGGACTTGTTCTTGAGAGTCCGGAGCCTGGAGGACTAAAACGTTGTCGTCTTCAGGGAAGAGGTTCTCCACCGTGTCCTTCGTGTCAATAGAAGGGTACAGAGAAGAGGAAGAAGAGGAGGAGAAAGTTGTGGCTTCTGGGTTTGAGAGAATGACTTCTGGGTATAGAGATTGTCGGTTTTGAAGAGGTTTTGGTGAAGAAGAAGACGACATGATCAGTCTGCTTCGTTTTCCTCGGCAGATACTTGTGGATCTATCTGGTTATGATTGTGAACAGAGAATCTAGGGGTTATTTAAGGATTTGGGGAAAGTGGAAGCTTCAGCGCGAAGGAAAAGTTGAAGAACGCGTCGAAGTTGCAGAGATGGCGATGCGTTACGTGGCTCGTAGAGGAGACGGCGCGTAAGAAACGCGGGAAACACCTGCTTGCATTTATTGCGTGAGGACAAATAAATAAATTGCAAATATTAAAAAGTCCAAATTCAATTTTAAAAAAAAATAAACAAATTTAATTTTTTGAGCAGCAATTTAATATTGTTTTGATGTTAGCGTATCACAAATAATTTTTTTTTTTTTGTTTATTGTTAGTCTATTTTACAAACTATTTTATAAATTAATTTAAAATTAAATTTATAATTTTTAAAAATGATTGGATCACAATTCCAAATTCATTTATAGGGCCGAAAAAATATGTAAATTGTCTTTAGCAACCCGCGTAAATATATAATATAACTTCTCTGACTTATTTGAATTTTGCATATCAAACAATTAAATTTTACTTTTAAGATTCAATATTGGAAGATCAATTGCTCTTAGTTTTCCCAGTGTAAAACGTCACCGTTTTTTGTCTTATTAATCCTTTTGTCTTGGGCTGTCGGCCCATCTTGTTCCACGGCCTAGCCCTCAAATCCATAGGCGAGGACTGCAAGCAACAGAAATAACTGTCTATCAGTCAAACTTCTATGGTTCGGTTTTTTCCTCATGTTCTTTTGGAAGATTAAGAAAAACCCATTTGATTATCTTCAAAAAAGCTTCTTCTTTTCATGCAAACCTGATGTTCCTTCCGTAAATCCATTTAAAACCTCCAAGCTCATAAGTAGCTATTTTAAATTGGGAAAGATTAGAGAAGCACAGAAGCTGTTCGATGAAATGACTGATAAAAATGTAGTTTCATGGTCTGTTGTGATTCATGGATATGCTATAAATGGGTTCCATTCTAAGTCCGTTGAGTTGTTTTCCCAGATGCGAATATTGGGTTTTGCTCCTAATTCTTACACTGTTGTTGGTGTTCTTGTTTGCGCCCGAGGTCTGCCGGACCTTGTGCTGGGGAAATCTGTTCATGGAGTAACCGTGAAAAGTGGATTCGAATCTAACTCGGTTGTGGGCACTGCATTGTTGGGTATGTATGCAGAATGTGGGAATATCTTTGATTCATGTAAATTATTTGAGGGGATGAAGAACCCGAGTATTGTTTCGTGTAATGCTATGCTTGCCGGCTATATAGATAATGAACTCTTTGAAGAGGGCGTTTTGTTGTTTAACCGACTAAGAATGTCTGGTTTTATTCCTGGTGAGTCAACTATGTTGACTGTTGTTCAAGGATCTGTTGCTCTAGAGTCGAGAATTGTTGCTCAGTCCATTCATGGTTTAGTAGTTAAGTTGGGTCTTGATTCGGATATGTCTGTTAACAACTCGATACTTGATTTATATTCATGTTGTAAGGATTTAGATGCAGCAAAGAAAGTTTTTGACATGATGGAATGTAAAGATGTCATTAGTTGGACAACAATGATGGGCTTATTAGTCAATCTTGAATATGCTGTGGATGCTCTAAATCTTTTCCTCAAGATGAAGGCTAGTAAGGTAAATCATGATGCTGTAGTGATTATGAATCTTGTTTTGGCTTGTACAGTTCTAGGAGATTTGAGGAGAGGAAGACAAGTTCACTCTCAAGCTGTTATTTGTGGCATTGAATATGATCTTCCTCTTGCAAACTCTCTCATCACAATGTATGCAAAGCGTGGTGAGTTACAATCTTCAAAAACCATTTTTAATCAGATGACTCAGAAGAGTCTCGTTTCATGGACCGCAATAATTTCAGGGTGTCTTCAAAATGGACACCCAAGAGAGGCTATGAAGCTTTTCATGGAGGTATGGGTCTCAGAAAATTATTCTCTTGATTCAGCGCTGATTGTTAGTGCTTTGACTGCTTCTGGAGTGGTTGCTGCTTTTGAACTTTGCCAACAGCTTCATTGTTATTCACTTAAAGCTGGTTTTAGCCATTATAGATCAGTTCAAAATAGTGTCATATCAGCATACGCGAATTCTGGTTGTATGGACTTTGCCCAGAGTGTTTTTGAGGAGATGGGTTGTCTTCAAGATTTAGTCTCTTGGAATGCGATTATAAATGGTTATGGGATGAATAGCCAAGGAGAAGCTGCTCTTGCTCTCTACCATAAGATGAGGAAAAGTAGGGGAGACATAGACAGATTTACATACTCATGCATTTTAGGGGCTTGTAGCCATTCGGGGTTGATAACAGATGGCCTTATGATATTCAATGAGATGGTCGAAGAGAATGAAGTAATGCCATGTCAAGAGCATTATGGATGTATTGTTGACTTGCTTGCCCGAGCAGGGTGCTTATCAGAGGCAAGTGGATTTGTTGATGACTGTTTCGAAGTTATGGGTCCAAATGCTTTGAGAGCTTTGCTAAGTGGCTGTGTGCTTCATGGTAATGTGGAGTTGGCTGAAGTTGTAGCAAAAAAGTTATTTGAGCAGGACCCAGAGGAATCAGGTCATGTTGTGCTTCTTTCAAATGTTTATGCATCAGTTGGAAGGTTTCAAAATGCTGAAACATTGAGAACAAGGATGGACAAGCAACGATTGATGAAGAATCCTGGAATTAGCTCACTTGGTGAAAGTTCTTATGACTTTGGTTGAAGGTTCTTACTTTCGAAGATGGAGAGGAGAATCAGATCCTTCTGCATGAAGTACAAAATGGCCCACTTGTTAGCAGCCTTCTACCTGATATTTATGATCACATGCTAGGCAGTTCAAGATTAGTGGAAGATGAGCAGTTTGTATGCCTGAAAAGGTAAAATTCTATGGTGTTGCAAAATGCTCTCAGCAGGAGCTATTTGTAACGACCCCGGAAATGTGAAAATGAAATGAGTATTTAAACACATAAAATGCGGAAGCGAGATCAAAATTTCAGTTAACATCCCTTACACGAAAACCAAAAACGTACTTAAAATATAAAAGATTAAACTAACTAAAAGAGAAACTCGAAAATAAAACTATGAGTATGACTACAGAATCTCTAAGCATCCCCTTCGTCGTCCTCCTGCGGAACGGGCTCGGGAACCATGTCTTTCTGATCTGAAATGGTTAAATAAGGAGTGAGTTACACTAGCCCAGTAAGAACATCACGATATCTCGCCGTCACGGAGGTAAAGGTGGGTAGAAAAACACAAAAGACCAATGGAGCATGATTTACAACAAATCCTTTTATTTATGATAAAACCTTTACCATCCACTTAACTCGGTGGAATTCATGAAATAATATAAGAAAAACAATAACATTATCACAATCATGGAATAATATAAGTTGTAAAACATAGCACTTATCACGCCTTTTGTAATTCAATCATTATACCACATATCATTTTCTCATTTACCAGCCTACTAGTATCCATGGGGATCCATAGGGGTCCCGCTACCCGTTAACCTTTAACATTCATAATCAGTTTCCAGGGCCGTCCCCATACCCTGTCCGGTATGGGCGCCAAAACCATAAAACTCAATACCCCGTCCGGTATGAGGGTGAAACGGGCCGTCCCCATACCCCGTCCGGTATGGGCGCCAAAACCATAAACCTCAATACTCCGTCCGGTATGAGGGTGAAACGGGCCGTCCCCATACCCCGTCCGGTATGGGCGCCAAAACCATAAGATCTCCATACCCCGTCCGGCATGTGAGACCACAATCCCGGTAGGGTTCCCTACGGACCCGGTCCGTCCACCATCTCTCAGGATATCTCGTCAGGCTGACTCCATCATACAATTATCAGTCTACACAATCTTTCATTTTCCTTTTCCTCAATAAGCATCATCAATTCATATTTAAACAAGCAAATCGTAATTCATGCCAAACAGACAACATACAGTATCAGTTCTTCAGTCTTTCAACCCATAATTAATAAAACAGTAATATATGCACTCGAAACTATAAAATGAACAAATCAAACCTCATAATGCATTTAAAGCTGTAAAACAGGCCAAATAACAGTAAATCATCAATCACACTAGACTTGGGCTCCATTAGCCACCTTAAGCAATTTCACACATTCGTTAATTCAAGAAATACCGTTTTATCATTTTGAACTTTAATACCGTGATAGGAAATAGGGTGAGGGGTCCTTACTCGTTTTCGGGGTCCGAACACGGCTTTGCAGTGCGCTTGCAGGCTGTCCCTAATTTTCTCTGAATTTTCCTCGGGGAACTGAAACGCACTACTGGTACCTGCACGTGTTCCAAAAAAATCCCAAATTAGGCCCAGGGCCCCTTTCGGCCCAAATCGCAACTCCGGCACGGCGGCGAGTCGCCTCGGGTTGGCTGTTTTCGGCTGTTTCCGGCCGAATTCGGCCACACTCGCATCGGTCCCTGTGAGAAAACAACCCTAGGGCCCTCGGGGGGCCAAAAAATCACGGAAAAACGGAGCTTACCGGCGGCGGCGCTCTCGGGTGCGGCGGCTCTCCGGCGAGGTTCGTGTTTTGGTGATTCGGCTCCGGTCAACCTGTAGAGAAAAGAATGGTGATCACGGTGATATAAAAATTGCATCAAACGGAGGCCGGGAAAGGCCTCATCGGAGGCAAAAACCGAGAGGGGGCGCGGCGGCGCCACTGGCCTTCGGCCGCGTATTCCGGCCGTTTGGCCGGGATTTTGGCTCCGATTTGGCCACAAGAGGAATCAGCGTGGAAAAACGAGTCGGGGGTATGAAATTTACCTCGATCGGCGGTCGAAAATTTCCCCGGCGCGGCGGCGGGTGGCGGCGGCCGGCTTCTGGTTTGTCTTCTCCGGCGAGCGGCAGGCGGCAAGGGTTTGTGGTCTGGTGTGGGGGTTCTATTTATAACCCCTTGCCTTTTGATCTCAGCCGTTCATTTTGTTTTAATCTGGGCCGTTCGTTTTTGATTGAATCTGGGCCGTCCGTGCGATTGCATCTGGGCCGTCCGATCGCGCGATTGATCTGGGCCGTCCGATCGCACCCACGCGGATCGTCAACGTGGCCCCTTTTCGGAGCGACGTGGTCTTGCCACGTGGCAGGCCCCGGTTGGCCGGGACTGCTGACGTGGCTGCCGACGTGGCCCTTTTTTTTTTTTTTTTTTTTTTTTTCCTCCTCCTTCTCGGTCCGGGCGCTACACTATTCATCGGACTTGGACAAAAGTTGAAGTTGCAATGGATTTTTAACATCCCCAGGTTGATGGGTAACATGATGAACAAAATGATCGAGGAAGCTAACTATTGAAAACAACTGTTGCATGGATTATGGGCAGGATGATCCCATGAACAACACTCTTGGAAGGCTCCTGCTTCTCTAAACCACAATCAGAGAATCAGGAAGAATGTGTTTAATTTTGATTTGGATTGCCTTCTTGATGAACAAGAAGCTAAGAAAATTAGTCGGATTTATTTGCGATATCTCCAGAATGATGGACATACAACAGAAGTGTAAAATCCTTGCAAAAACTCAATAATTTTCCTATGGAACTTTCCAGAAAAAAATAAAATTTGTGTTAGAGATAGAGATTAAATCATGATCTGAGAACAGTTCCAGGAATTAAGACTATTGAAATCATTTCTGTAAGTGGAATTTCACAGACCCACGGGAAACAAAATGCAGAGAAAAGTAGTGCTGGGTTCAACCTATATCAACGGCCTATTCAGTTTGGATCCTAGTAGCAACTAGTATTAAAGCAGCGTCTTTGTTTTCTGTCTGGTGCATATTAAATGGAGAATCCGATGCTATAACAGCACGGATTTTGTCTTTTATAAACTTTCCTCGTCTCCCTTTTCCCATGGCTGCTGCACAGGTTGGATTCTGCACAAAATGCCTGAAGGTCTGTGATGGGTGAAGCCGTGCCATTTAGTAGGTGCCAGTGACAGGCCAGAGGCAGAGGATGACTTTTTAAAAATGGAAATTGGGTCAGTTTACCTCTGTAAATCTTTAAGTAACAGCCTTGGGAAAGAGACAAACTTGCTGGTCAGACCTGTCATTTTCTTGTCTACTAAATATTATTGAATCTGCTAGTATATCTGTCAATGTTCATTGCTTTTTCCTACGCTATCATCACTGCTAACTTGGTTTATCTTGCAGCTCCTATTATTGGTGAACCTGAAAGCTCCATGACTGTCATCACTCTGTGCCCTGTAAGTTATAGAGACACTGTATTTGTACCATTAGATTTTTTTCTGGGTTTTTGGCTTTTCTTTTGTAATTATAATCAGGCAGTATTTTTACGTGCATTGGATCGCTCAAGTGATTAAAAGGTTATTAAGCTCAAGTATTACGAGTCCAAGATATTACAGTCTCGAACATATTATCTCACACTATAACTGTAAGCTTTAGAGTCCGAGATACCATAATTTCGTATATTAATCTCATGCTATAACAATGAGATTTATGTTATGACATTTAAGTTGATAAAGAATATAATAACACTCAACAAGTGAGTCTCTTTTAAGGAGTCACATCTCCGGACACTGCAATCTTAGAAATCCAGCTAAGCTTAATTTACCCCTACCATCACCGGCCTCATATCTAGATTCTTCTACTGCTTTGAAGTCTTTGCCTTCTATTCTTTCTCGTTTTCAAAGTGCTCATACTGTTGTGTCTCTTTTCATTAATGCTACGGGCCCTGTGTGTGTGTGTATATATACACACACCTTTGTAGGTCCTTTGTACATCCACCAATACAATACACACACACAACTGAAAGCATGAGGTTATCAGATAGTGTTGCAGCCAACTGGAACTACATCTGGGCTACTAATATTTTGTTGTTCAAGTCACTGCACTTTACTGGTCATTTCTCTCTTCTTGAAGGAAGCTTCTCCACCATTTCTCTTCTGATTCTTTCTGCTGGTTTTTCTTTCATTCTTATCGGTCTGCTTCTTGTTATTGATGTAGCAGTTCATACCAGTCGAAGTCCAGTTTGTGGGAAAATATGTAAAGGTGGAATTTGTTGGCACAATTATAGGCATCAATATCTTGTTCGTGAGGAAAGCATCATGTAGTTTCCATGAGACATTGTCTGAGTTGGTGAGATGGTTTGAAGGGCACAAGAATAAGGCAAAAGCAAACATCATTACAATTGTAAGTATATGTACGCCAAGTCTTAAGCTTTAAGTGACTTGCAATCAACTTCTT